GACCTGATTTCAACAAAGAATGATGACAACAATGGACAACAGCGACACCAACAAACAGTCACAAAAAGTCATACAGATTTGTTTATTTATTTTACAAATAGGATGGCTAAAAAAAGAAAAGCAACATAAAACAGCTAGATTCTAAGGTGAATGTAGAAAATTAAAAACAGGAACATGTCAGCATTGGTCCCTGCCAGGAGTCCAACAGATTCTTGAAGCCACTTACAGAGATCAAGGTCAAGAGCTTCAGATCTTTTGTAAGATATTCCAGGAAACGGGAGCAGAGTAGGAGAAGGCCCTTTTGCCAAGTTCAGTCCTCACTGAGGGAACACTGCAGGTAATAATGTCCTGAGAGCGCACGCTGTAGCTGCACTCACACAGAGACATGTAGTAGGAGATGTATGAAGGCAGCAGACCAAGAAGTGATTTAAAGATGAAACTGTACCAGTGAGAGAGTCTGCGTGAAGTTAATGATGTCCAGTTAACCAGTGAATACAGAGTGCAGTGGTGGGTACGATAATCACAGCCAGTTATGAATCTTAGTGCACCATGATAGACAGCATCCAACATCTGCAGGGTTCTTATAGGAGCGTTCATGTAAATAGTGTCATCGTAATCAATGGAGGGAAGGAAGGTCACAGAAACAAGGCGTTTCCTAGCATTCGGAGTTGGACACGATCTGTTTCTGAAAAAGAAACCCAGTTTAACTTTCAGTTTCTTTACCAAGTTTTCCACATGGAGCTTAAAAGAGAGATGCGAGTAGACCAAGATACCCAAATATTTATAAGAATCAACAAACTCAATCGGAACACCATTTGAGGATGAAATCAGAGGGAAGAACTGCTGGGACCGACTTCTTATTTGAAAAAAAGCATCCCTTTGGTTTTGTCGGCATTTAGGACAAGTTTGAGGTGGAACAAATCTGTCTGGATGTTGTTGAATGCAGATTTCTAAAGCTGAAAGCCTTTTCAACTGTTTTAGCTCGACAATAAACAACTGTGTCTTCAGCATAGAAATGTATGTATGCATCAGGGATGTTTTTACCAACATTACGTTTTGTAGATTGTAAAGAGGGTGGGTCCTAAGACTGAGCCTTGTGGTGCACCATTGTTGACTGTTAAATAACTGGAGGAAGTACCATTATGTTGAAGACATTGCCTCCGGTCCTTCATCTTATGGTTTATCTTGTAAATCAGCTGATTTTGAGTCCTCAAACCACGAACCAAACCTTCACACAGACTTGGCAGTTTTGCTATTGCCGAAACTGCTGCCGCCGTCGTCTTTAATAACCGATAACACAGGAATCCACCAATGCCAGAGAGCAGAAACCCTGCTATCATAAATCCAATTATATAACGAATTCAACGTCTTCCTGAGACAGAACGGAAAGACACATCAGCTCCCAATTCCATGACGTATCCTGCCGCGTGAGTCTCAGCGGGGCATGAGGGCTCTCCAGGACCCTGTCGCTTTGTTGAAAAGATTTTGTCGATTGCGTTGAAAGTACAGCTGACAAGATCCATGACAGTAGTTTTAGTTTCAGAAGATGTATAACAGGAGCTCTGATACATAGAGAGCAAAAAAGCAGGGGGAGAGGGAGAAGAGGCGCCTGCCTTGCATGAGAGCGAGTGCAGAAAAAAAAAAGTCATGTGACCAAGGTCACATCCGACTGAGACTTGGGTGATCAGATCTAAATTCGTCCTATCTGTATACAGCACTGTTTGGGTCCGCTGTGTTGCATGTTAGCACCACATCAGAACAGTTCTTATCGCACAAGAGCAAACCTGTATTTATTTTTGTCTTGTGTATGATGCCATTCTCCTTTTGTTTTCATTTTCAGGGCAAACCTGATCTAAACACATCACTCCCAGTCAGGCAAACGGCCTCCATTTTTAAGCAGCCGGTTACCAAGGTTACCAACCATCCCAACAACAAAGTGAAGACAGACCCTCAGAAAGCCGTTGATCAACCCCGACAGGTGATTCCCATTGATGTCAACATCAGAACAGTCAAACCAGAAAGACAGGTTTTAGATGCAGTAACAGGAAGTAATTTGGTGCCAGATGTTGCAAAGATGACTTTGAATATGCTGCTGTTTAATTTATGTGCCACTGTGGGAGCAGTAGACATTGTTTTTTTTCTTGTCAACAGCTATTTTGGGAGAAGAAACTTAGTGGCCTAAATGCTTATGACATCGCAGAGGAGCTGGTTAAAACAATGGAGCTGCCTAAAGGACTCCAAGGTAAAACAGTCCAGCATTAACAACTGATGTTAGCTTACAAACCACTGCTGTGCTGATATGATTATTTCAATAAAAAAATGTCTGTTGACCCTTTTGCTGCTCTGTCAGGCGTCGGTCCAGGCTGCACAGACAAAACTCTCCTGTCGGCAATCGCAAGCGCTCTCCACACCAGCGCTGCCCCGATCACCGGGCAGCTTTCTGCTGCTGTAGAGAAGAACCCAGGGGTCTGGCTCAACACTGCGCAGCCGCTGTGCAAGGCCTTCATCGTTACAGATGAGGACATCAGGTGAGCGGTTACAGAGCAGCTGCCCCACTTTCACCACAGCGTCATTCACTCCGATCAACAGTCAAGTCTGAAACTAAATCCCTGTCTGACAAATGTTCTTACAGTTAAAAAAAGAGGAAATGGCAGCTCAGGCAGAGGAAATAATGATGTATGTCATGTATAACCACATCCCACATGTAGTGTCTCCACTGTATTGAAACACAATATTGTTTGTGGTTATTAGAAGTTTGACAGTTTCTAATAAATCCTCACTGCTCTCTGCAAAACCACAGCGTCCAACGTCTGCTCAAGGCAGCTTTAACTGCCACAAAGTGAAAGACTTCCTGGTGTTTGTGTGCAGGAAACAGGAGGAGCTGGTGTACAGTGTGAGGAAAAGGCTGGAGGAGGCACTCATGGCCGACATGCTGGCCCACGTGGAGGAGGCTGCCAACGATGGGGAGCCACTGAAGGAGGAGGGAGCTGGCAGTGAAGACATGGAGAGCGTATAGCACAGGTGTTCTGCAGAAAAATGCAGCTCCATCTGTTCTGGACCAGCCTTAAAATCACACATTTTACTGCCGGAACAAATGTTTTCTAATTCAATTTATTTGTTCTCTTTTAGGATTTTTCAAAGTCCAAATGAACGTATTCAATGCCTCTATCAAAAACCATAAACAGCTCGGCCCTAAAGGACCCCCCTCTTGCAGTTCAGCCACCTGCAGCTGTTTTGTCATGAACCCCGCTCTATGGGACTGTTTGGCTGTATTTATGAGCCCAATGGCTTTTAAATGGGAGACTTTAAAAAAGAAAACCCAATGAATGACATATATAAATAATATTTACATCATGTCCAATTCAGTGTTTAGTCATAAATGTATTTTTTACCAAAAGTTTTTGTTTGTTTTGTTTTTTGACAATCATGTTCAAATGTTTATCATGTCATCTGAAAGCTGTTTGGTTTTGGGCAGATTGGGAGTAAATGTTTTGTACTTTTGACGCATGTGTGGAAGATTAGTCCGAATGTTGATTTTACAGAGTGTATTCAGAGTGTGTGTGTTTGTGTGTGCGCGCGTGCATGCATGCTTTAAGGATGTATGTACTATTAAATCTGAATTGGGCTCAGTATTGACATAAAATCATGTCATTTTAAAGACTTTTCACTGAGTATATATATTTTTTGCTTAAAACTTGTGCAGCAGAAAACACATTTAGTGACTTGACCTGGTATTACTGGTACTATTTTTATTTTTCATTTTTGTATGCGTCAGTGTTACACACACGCTGCCTCCTTTAAATCCACATACAAAACAAGTGATGGTAAATTAGTGTTTTCCTTTGTTTTTTATTTAAAGAATAATACTTTGTTTATCCTTGTTGGATACATTTAGTTGAAATCATAAAATGCCCCATCAGCTGATTGCTTAAAATAAAGTTGTTTTCCTTATTGAAACGTGTCAGTAAATTTGTAGATTGTCAAATTTTTTTTTTTTGAGTGTTGATGTAAGTGGAACTGAGTTCAGATGTATAAGATGTACTAAAAAAAAAAAAGTTCCTGGATGTAATGTATTTTTCAGACTATAAGGTGCACTTAAAATACTTACATTTGCTCAAAAATCAACAGTGAGCCTTATAATCTGGTGCACCTTATGTATTTGTTTTGGGTGTGCTTACTGACTTAACTGATTTTATGTGGTACACGGCAATTTTAGTCTCGGGGCGCTCAAGCACCCCTAAACTTTAGCTCGGCACCCCTGAAAAATAATGTAAAAAAACATATAATTTTAGGTGGTTCAGGGTTTGAGTTCTGTTTATTGCATTTATGATTCAATGCAACAAAATAAATTTAAAAGGAAACTGATCATTGTAATACTTGGTTTATTTACATTCTGACTAATTGCTGGATGTTCGGCCCCTGAGCTGTTGGTTTTCAGAAACTGTGCCCCCATGAGCAGTTTAGTTGAATAGTCCTGATTTAAAGGGTGAAATGCAGTTTATTCCATTTCCAAAACCTAAACAGAGTCTGGAAAATGTAAAAGATAACGCCCTGCAGCCGACCTCACGATCAGTCGAATACAACAGTGATAAACGGGAAGTACCACGTTCATCTGTACAAAGGTAACTGCAGGTAAATCTTTCATTTTCTCTCATTACATTGTATGCTTAATGGTTAAAGGTTAATGCTTAAAGCTAGTTGTGAATTGTTTTGTGTGTTTTGTATGTCAATATTGCTATGTTGCAACTTCTGGTTGCATAAGTTTAATCTTTGTTATGATCAGTTAATAGTAAACTGATTTTGTACAAAGTGTTTATTAGGTTGTGTAATTTAAAGCAGAGCGCTACATCTGTAGTATCTTATCTAGCGCGTCTATTGCACATCACTAGCTTAGTGCTACTTGATGTTGTGTGCTCTCTAAAATAGTTATTTTATGGAGGTAAATGTAGAACAACATGTTAAAATACACCAGAACGCAGGAAATGGCATGTACTTTATTCAAAATTTTCTGGGGGAGAAGTTACCCCTAGACCCCCCCACCAGTCTCCTCCACATTATGAATGCTGTTGATGGCCACCAAATTGTTCAAAACAAGAGCCGTTGTCAGCACTGGGGGCTAAGCACCCCTAAAAGTTAGATTCTAGAATCGCCCCTGCTACACGGCGTTCAAAAATCTTATCAAAAATGTTTTAGTTTTAATGCGCCTTATAATACGGTGCGCCTTATAGTCCGAAAAATACGGTAATAGTTCAAACTGCACATCTAATTGCAGCGGATTAACTGTTAACCTGGCGGTGTGTTTATGTGAGCGTGAACAAAGTGCAGGATGTTGTCACCTGGATGGTGAAGCTGTCCCGCAGAGACACACAGGAGACCGGCTGCTCCCCGCACAGGAACATGCCGACCCGGCTTAACTTTTAAATGATCTCCCACTCATCCTAAAGAATAAAACATGGCGACTCTTGAGCTGTACACCAAGGTAAGATGGACTATAGTTTGTAATTAGTACATTTTTAGTTGCTTTAGACATGAAGTATTCTTTAAGCCACATCAAAGTATTAATATGTCTTACTGAAGCCACCTTCATTTTACACTGAAACAACGCTGGAGCAGTATTTAGTGAAAGTTAAAGTATTGTGTAATTTTCTCAAACCATATAGGTACCCAGCTGATTAATCTAAGAAACATCTGCTGACTATCTGCAGAAACACTTGACAAAGTAAAAACAATAAATGAATCTGGTGGTGAATAATGGTTAATCCTTGTGAGCTGCTGAGAGAGAGAGGATGACCAGTGTTAATTTTTAACACTGTTTAGGAGCTTTTTGTGCTGATGGGTGACATATCCTGCTGGGTGGGGCGAGCAAGTGTGACTGTTTAAAACCAAGTGTGTGTGTGTTTATATAAAATACCACCGGCTTCAGTATTTGTCACCCATTTGTCTGCGTCCTGCAGCAACAATCTGTTCTTTTGTCAGGGGGCGAGTGTGTGGGTCCCTGATCCAGAATCAGTTTGGGTTTCAGCTCAGCTCCTGCAGAACTTCAAACCTGGAGAGAAACAGCTTCTGCTGCGACTCCATGATGGAAATGTGAGATGTGCAGAACTTTGCCCATTAGTTGTCTCTTGAACTTTGTGTCGTTATAAACTCAGTTTCTCACCTATTTGTCACTATCCACTAAATAGGAGGTCCATCACCCAGTGGGTTCTCTGTCTGACCTCCCCCTGCTGGGGAACCCTGACATCCTGGAGGGTGAGAACGACCTGACAGCTCTCAGCTTTCTCCATGAACCTGCTGTGCTGCACAACCTGCGGGTGCGCTTTCTGGACTACAGCAGCATCTACACGTACTGTGGTGAGCAAAGATAAAGCAGACGATGGCACATTTATAAAGATAAGGATGATATTTTGAGGACAAGTCAGACAGCAGGAGCAGATGTTCAGATTAAGACAAAACTCATTTAGGGCTCAGTATTGCAGAATAAAAATGGACAATTAAATAAATAATGAAATAAAATGGACTAAAACAAAGCAAAAAAATAAAATCACAGCTAAAAAAAGCTACCTGTGCAATAGCACAAACTATAAGGAGCAAAGTTCACACCGGGGCTATTGGTGTTAATGTGCAAAGTGTCCATTATTTGATATACAGCGCAGCATCCTTCCTGAGAGCAGGGGGTAAACAGTTAGTGTGCAGGGTGGGTGGAGTTATCCCTGTCCCTACACCTGGATGTGTAATTAGTGGTGAGCTGTGCCCGATGGTCCTCTGTGCAGACTTCTCTCTGCAGAACCTCCTACTCTGCCTTAGTTCAACTTCCAAACTGCACTCTGAGGCAGGAGGTGAGGACGCGTTGCACCACACTAAACCATCTGAGTCAATATACATGGCTCTGGATCCTCCTCTGTTCCTAGGTGTTTTGGAGTTCCACAGGGCTCAGTCTTAGATCCCCTGCTTCCCCCACCTCCCCCACTCTTTATGTTTCCTTTGGGTTCAATTTTCAGGAAGCATGAGATTTTCTTTTAATGCTATGCTGATCAGTGACATGCAGTGAGGTTTGTGACAGGTGAGGCACTGGCTCGTCTGGAATCGGATGCTCATATGAACCCAAGATAGAAGCTTACATTTCAATTTAGTCTTTAAAAAAAAAAAAAAAAACTTCTAATTATGCTTTAATCAACTCCATACTGTTCAACAATGATGGCAACTCCCCAACCCCCCCAAAAAAAATTTAATGTAAGGTCAAACTCTGATTAAAAAGAGCGGGTTACATTTTTCCCGCTCGTTTGAATCAGATCTTTCAGCTCAGGAGTTAGTCTAATATCTTCTGTTTCGACTGAAAATCGAGTTTAGACAAATCCTTTAGTTTTGAGATATGATCTTCCATTTTGTCTAAACAAATTTAAACGAGTGTTCCGTTATAGATTCGTTACACCCCCGCCCCTCTGCATAATAGAAGAATGCACAGTGTAGAGGAACATATATCTGTGATATATTCATAAATTAAACGGATTCATTCATTTTTCTGGACTGAATAATATCGTGCATTGAAATTAAATGTGACGTGAGACGTTAATTTTCTTTGACCCATCAAATGAATGCGGTCATTTATTAACAGAATCAAAGTTTAACATCAAACATTTACATTAATTTGGCAAATTGATTTCAACAACAGCTTAATTAATTAGCTTTACAGTCAGGAAAACCATACGGCCATGATTTTCCTGCTTCACAACAGACATTTCTGAAAATATCTGGAATGATTACTGGCAAGATAGAAGAGTTTAAAGATGGGGGATGAAGGAGTTAAAATTGAGAGAGAAGATGGATGAGGGGTTGTTATGTGTCGGTATCAGAACGGCACGCTCCGTTAAGATCCCAGCTTCCTCCTCGGTACACTTAGGTAGTGTAAATCAACTCTTTACCTGTAGAAGGTGTCTCCACTGGTACGGAGTTCCATTTAACGCACCCTTTCAGCGTCTCCGTAGGAACAGCTGTGAATCGTCCGAAGTAGTGCCGGTATTCCGTCCGACACAGGTTCAACCCACTGGTGGACTCACAAGAGGAGTAAGTCCGTCAGAGGCTCCACTCAGATGTGGAAGATTTCATAATTCCCACAAGACTCGGAAGAACTGCGGATCATGCCTGAACCTCCTGTTCTCTCCAGCGCTTCTTCTGTTCGGTTTTGCTCTCCGAACTGACCTGCTCTCCCACCGCACTCGACTGGCTGGAACTAGGAAGTGCCGACATTTAAAGAGTTCTATTTCCGGTTCATTTGGGAAGTCCTGATTGGCTGAAATAGCTAATCAGGGGTGTGTTTTTGTGACGTAAGAGGTCACTAGAAGTCAGAAAAACAGAAAAATTGTTTTGGAACGGACAGAAGATGTTTTGAGACAGACGAGAGAAATGTTTAGGCGAGTTGGGGGAAAACAGGTGCCAGCTTCTCTATTTACGTCTGAGAGGATATAAAAACATGACAGTTCGTTCCAACAACTTGTCTTCTTGCCTCCAACCTTGGACCAACTTACACTTGCTCATTTCAGACAGAAAATCAGAAAATGCATGAATCACTCCGTAACACATTCTAACTTGATTTCTACTTTGAATGAGGATTAAAAAATCAATAATACTGTTTCACAGTTGATTTAAAATGAGTAGTTCACTTCAACATTTAAAAATGGTTTGAACTAAACACACTTTGATTATCAAGACATTTGTAAGCTAGTAATGATAATAGAAAAAGAGAGTGTTCTTTCAATTGATCAGTGCAGGACACTTAGAAAGTCTCTGGATGAACTTAATCTTGTGTTTCTGGACTCAAATCAATGAAATACAGTTCTTGTCCCAGGAAGGCCCTCAAGGTCAGGATTTGACCTGAGGCTTAGTTCACTACAACAGTGTGCACCTGTTTCACCTGTCCCTATGGGGCAACACTGCCCCCTATCAGTGAGTCACAGTACTTTCTGCCTCACTCTGTGTATTTTCACCGTGCATTTATGAGTGATTAGAAAGAAGAAACATGTCACACACATTCATTCAATACGTCAGACTGTAGAACATCAGCATGTGCAGCACATCAAACGTGTATATTGACGATATAAACAGAGACAGCAATGGGCATGCGCTAATCGCCTACTTCATTTACTGTATGACAGAGCGCTACCAGAGGTGAACCAGAGCACTACACTGCACCACCTAGTGCATTTCTTGCATGTGTTGGAACATACCATGCGTAAATTTCATGATTTTGACCATTGAAGTGTTGAAATAAATTAAATAATATTTTATAAAACAGTTTTATAGAACAGTCAAGTGGTCAAATGTATTTTCTCTTATCATTTAGTATTTTACTTGTCATGACGAAAGGTGAAGTACTGCCTCCCCTGCCCCCCCATGACTGCATGCCACTGATGCTGATGACAGTCATATGCCACTGAAAAAGAAAGATGCTCAGTTAAACCACTTCTGTTGTATCTAAAGGACATAAAGGCCTAGATGTCCCTTAATTTTCATTCATCCATCCATCCATTAACTTTACCCGCTTTTTCCTTTTCGGTTTTCGGGGGTCACTGGCACCACTGGAGCCCATATCCAGCTATTACTGTGTGAAAGGTCAGTTTCTTCATGAAATAAAGGTAGTGCCAGATGAGGGTGTTGGTTAGTGTATTCCAAGGTACTTGATGGAGGGACCCATTTTCACAGCTGCACCATCAGTGTGACGTGGAAGTAGGAGGGTGCCATTTCTGCGAAAATCCACAAACATCTCGTTGGTCTTCTTGATGTTTAGGATGAGTTTGTTGTCCTTACACCCCAAGTTAGGTCACATAGCCCTTAGGTGAGCCAGTGCTCATTATGATGGAGGAGGAAGTGTTGTTGAACATGATGCTCTGTGGCCTACAGGTCAGGAAGTTCAATACAGTACTCAGCTGTACAGAGGTGAATAGATTGCTAATACTGCCAACTTGGACACCAGTTTCTGTGGTATGATGGTACTGAATGCAAAACTGAAGTCCAAAAACTGTAACCTCACACAGACATCCTTGTTCTTCAAGTTAGAAAGGGCCTAGTGGGTCACAGCAGAGCTGTCATCAGCTGTAGACCAGTTCCACTTGTATGTGTACTGGTGTCCTCAGCAGTGTCAATAGACCTCTTCAAACACCACACCACTAGCCTCTCACAGCACTCCATGGTGACTGGGGTCAGTGTTACAAGGGCAACAATAATGCTGGAGAGATGGAACTTTGTCCTGAGACAAAAACATGTTAAATACGTCTGTCAGAACCTCAGACAGCTGGGACGCAGACTCCCTCAAACTTCTGCCTGGGATACTGTCAGGGTCCGAGGCCTTGCAAAGGTTGACTGTGTTTTTCTCACCTCTGTTGTTGTCATGCTGATGACTGAGGGATGATCAGGAAAAAAAAGTATGAAGCAGGCAGCTACTGTGTGCTTCTGTTTACAGCTCATAACATTTATGAATCATAGTCAAAGGTTGAGACTTTGGAGGCAACTCCGTCATAGACACACATTATAAACCAATTTTAAACCATTTTAAAACCATTATAAACCAAGTTTGTGTAGTTTTGAAATGACACACTTGAAGGCAAAAAATTTTAAAATAAAATCTGTCTTGACTTTATGATTTATTGGCAGATAATAAAATAAATCTTTTGGAGGAAGGAACAAAGTTATCCTTTTACGCGCACGCACGCACGCACGCACGCACGCACGCACGCACGCACGCACGCACACACACACACACACACACACACACACACACACACATATATATATGTACACTGTTAACAGTGTGGTACTGTTAGCAGTGTGGTTCTGTTAATGGTGTAGTTCTGTTAACAGTGTGGTTCTGTTAATGGTGTAGTTCTGTT